TTTATTAACGAAGTATTTTTTGCTGAGTATTCTTCATACTTTTTTACCCTAATACTTTTGTAACTAGAGTTAGTAAAATTGAGATCTTCTAGTACTTTTTCCTATTATCATAATGAATAGTTGAAACATTACGTTGATTTTAAAGTATAAAATTAATACAGTATTTTAATAACTAAGTGCAGATTATATGGTTTGATATGCAGTGGTATAGTAATTACTGCTGTTGACACATCTGTGTATTTTGTTGAAATTGTCTTTTCATTAATATCATAACAATATGTTTTCAACTGTATTTAGGACAATTTGCATGCATGCAGATGTGAAATACCTCACAAAATAGCATCTGGTTTTTGATCAGCCCTGCTAGGAATAGCTACTTTGTGCTGATACAATCAGACACTTGAACTGCCCCTTTCCTACATAGTATAATCAAGCTATATTGTAGGGTTCAGACAACATAGAACATGTGAATCAACTTAGTTATCAGCAGAGACAGCATGCAGTGCTCTAAGTGTGGTTTTATACTTGCTGGTTGTTTTATGAAGCCATGTGGGCCAGTGAACATCTGTGGTGCAATATTTTTAAATAATTGAGGAAAAGGGATTTTTGTTTCTTCTTTATAAGGATGGCAAATAGGCAAAGAAGAAATGTGTCTTAAAAAAGGAGCAGACACACCAGCTGTAAACCCTGAGAACCTTCTCTGTGGATCCTTTATTAGTTGAATGTGCAACGAAGTGCAGTAGAGTGTAGGTGGATACTGTCCTGGGTTCAGCAGTAGCAGTCATTTTTCTCCTTCTTAGTAGCTGGTGCAGCGCTGTGTTTTGACTTGCGGCCTGGGAACAGGGCTGATAACACTGATGTTTTAGTCTGACCAAGGACTTTGTGAGTCTCATGCTCTGCCAGGGAGGAGGGAAGCCGGGAGGAAGCAGAGACAGGACACCTGACCCAAACTGACCAAAGAGGTATTCCATACCACAGCACGTCATGCCTAAGATGTAACAGAGAGTTACCCGGAAGGGCTGGGGGACTGCGGGGTTGGACTAGGTATCGTGTCAGTGGGTGCTCGGTCGGATGCGGTGGGGTGAGTTACCGGTTGGGTGGTGCTGAAGTGTTGTATTCTCTTCCCTAGTTATTTCCTTTATCGTTATTATTACTGGTGGTAGCAGCAGTGATTTGTGTTATACCTTAGTTACTGGACTGTTCTTATCTCAACCCGTGGGAGTTATATTCTTTCAATTCTCCTCCCCCTCCCTCCAGGAGCAGGGGGAGGGCAAGAAGGGGGGGAGTGAGTGAACAAGCTCTGTGGCTGGGTTTAAACCATGACACTGTAGCCATATTAGTGTTGTACATAGATACACATCATTGGCAGGACTGACTTTACAGATACTCCATAATATGTATGCTCTGGTTTCTTATGTACTCTGTGTTAGTGAATGCTTATTTTAGTCCAACCCTGCCCAAGGGGTTTGTAACCAGGAGTAGCAGTCATAAGGCTAATAGTTGGTGTCTGTAGACACCAACTCTGTCTCTGTCCTTTTTGACAGAGGTATGACAGGAAAGTGCAGATTTGAAGTCCTGTATGACAGGTGACAGGCAGACTTCACATCGTTTCCAAACACTTACGCTTTATGTGGCCATGATTTTTTTTGGTCATAAATTTCAAAGCCCAGTTGTGACAACTGAATTGATACTTAAGCTGCTTATTTATTGTCAAGGAGAAATGTTCTGGGAGAGAAGGATGTTACTTTGGTTAAGTTAAGCCAAGGACTGTTTAAATGAGCCAGAATGGCAGTTCTCTGTTTAAGAACAAGTATTTGCAAGGTGGACATGCAGCTTTTAGTTGCTATTCCTGATAGTCCATGCATATTTATCATTTTTACATGATGCATTGTGTTTCATTAGAGACTAGCATCAGCACTGCAGATACTTGAATTGTCCTGGCCTCATTTCAGGCTAGGACCACAAAACCAGCATGACTTTCTTTGCAAATGGTCACAAACTTTCCAGAAAATCTGTAGTGCAAGGCAATAAAGGTGTTTTCAGTGTTTATCATACTCTTAACTGCTGAGGCAGTTTGGTAAAAGAAGAAAGCTAGTAAGTTGGGAGCTGATGGATGAGGAAGCAAATAATTTAGTCTTGATAGGAGTACGAAAGTAGATGTGTACTGGGACAGTGGCAGTAGAAAGAGAGGCAAGTTAGTAAGAAAGGAGAGAAAAATAGCAATAAATATGAGTTGAAATGTGAAGAGTGAGGTGAGATGTGGAAAGAAGAAGGAAGGCTGGCTGAGATGAGCGCCCTGCCCATCCTTTTTCCCTCTCTGAGAACCTGGAAATGAATCTAGATCTGTTGTTCCCTAGCCATACTGATATTCCATGCTTGTCTGCTTCAGTGTGATGGAAAACAGATGTGATTTGACGACAAACTAACTTGTTCATATTGGTCTTACATACCATTGTGATAAATGCCTAGAGGAGGAAGGAGAAAGAGAAATAAATTCTCTATGCCCGGTCAGGATGGGTTTTCATTAAGCGCAGCACATGACTGAACAGCTTTCTAAAATAATAATATACCTTCTATATAATAGGCTATAATTGCTTCAGGTTGCATTTCTAATTTTAAAGCTTGCTCATATGTATGTAGAAGACTCTTTAATTGTATTGGGATTTTTAGCACATGATTTCCCATCTAAAGTCATGCATCTCCTCTCTCAAGTAACAAGTAATAGGACAAGAGGTAACAGCCTCAGGCTACATCAAGGGAGATCTAGGTTGGATATTAGGAAAAATTTCTTCACAGACAGGGTGATTAGGTATTGGAACAGGCTTCCTCCCAGGGAAGTGGTGGAATCACCATCCCTTGAAGTATTCAAAAATCATGTAGGTGAGACCCTCAGTGACATGGTTTATTGGTGGACTTGTCAATCCTGGGGGAACAGTTGACTTGATGATCTTAAAGGTCTTTTCCAGCCCAGCTGATTCAGTGCTTCTATGAAAACTGAGTGCCAGGATGTCTTGGCTGGTAATTTTTATAACATCTTGATCCTGTGTTCTACTTGAGTGTTGTCTCCTGTCATTACTGAAGTCACCATTCTCAAATGAGACAAAGGTGTTAAAAGCCATCCTTAAATTTTAAATATACAAAAGTAGGTCTCTTTGCATATTTCACTAGTGGGGCAACTGAAAATTTTTATACCTTAAAAAGGATGGGCAGTTCCCAAGGTTTTAACTGCATTATTTGAAAAGGTGCATTTTCCCAGGGCATGTGTATGTTGAGGAAGAGTGCAATAGGTGCTACCATGTAGATACTTAAATAGCATGCCTCGGGTTCATTTGACTTAAATGCAAAATGAAAATCTTTTCTGAAACTGCTGGCAGTAGGCAGCAATTTACCAATATATGAATGAGCAAGCCACAGCAGAAGAGAGAAGATATTCCCTGCAATGCTGAATATTATAATTATGTTTAGATTAATACCAAAGGAGAGAATAAGTCTTTTCAAACTGAGAAACGCAAATTTTTTTGCTGTTTTTTGAAGCATATAGTGAGGTGGAATTCCAGCACTGATGGAGTCAGGGTAGTGGCTGGTGTAAATCAGTTGTAACGTTTTATATAGGAGATGGAAATTTCTTATTTAGAAGATGATTTGAAGGCAAATTTTTCCATGCAAATCCTGTCCTGAGGAAAGAAATTACTGCAAGAATGAGACATTTTCATGTAGAGCATTGTGTTTGAAAGATACGACAGTACCTTTCCATTTATGGCCTTGGCAATGCTGGGGAATGGTTGAACTTGATGATCTTGAAGGTCCTTCCAACCTAGTTTATTCTATGATTCTATATTATGGAAGTGATGGTTTTGGTAGATTTTGCAAAAATAAAAGAAATTATTAGTAACTTATGATCACTGTGTTTGCCTGCGATGGCTTTATATAATCATGATGAAGTACTGATAATGGGACTTGGAGTTCAAGTTCCTGATACAATCCCCAAGGTAAAAAGAAACTGATTGTGCTTGACCTGTGGCCAGATAAACTCCCTAATGTTTAGTCAGGAAAGCTGTCAGCAGATTTAAGTTCAGCCTCTTGGTGGCCAAAGATACACATTAAAAAGATGCAGAGGAGACAGAGGAATATGTGATAGAGACTTCCTGTGACATCTGTGTGACCTCTACCACTGGCAGTAGCTTGCTGATTTCTGGTCTTCTTACATGGGGCAGCTAGCAGCTGGTTTCCATTGTGCTGTCATAAGTGCAAGCACAAGGAGACGCTGTCTCTACACTGAGACAATACTGTGAGCTAACCAAGAACATGAATTTACAGCATTCTATTTCACAGTACTTCCCTGTACAGTTTTTTTGGTACAAATATTATTCTGTCCTCACTTTGTGTCAAGTAGGTATGAAGTAGTTAATTCCACATTCAAAATCTCATTGGAAGAGAATAATGCAAATAAACTAATGGTGGAGAAAATTCATATGCACTAATTAGTAGTAACTTAGTTACTGCTAAGTAAAAGTTAGCAGTAACTTTTCCTTGAAAATGAGCTCTTTTTTAATTTTATTTTAGAAGACTAGCTAAGCCCTTTCTGTAGAAGAACTTTTCTGATCACATTATAGCTATTTTTGATCAAGAATTGCATTGATTAGCCCTGGAGGACATAATTAGTTACAGCCTAGGGATGACTACAGTGCCTGTGCTTTGGCATATAGGAATCAGACTGTAGAAATATTGAAGCACTGCTTTCGTGTGCCTTTATAGATTTCTCGGTTGATGGACATTAATTAATTCATTCATTTTGTAAAAAATCACAACAACCTACGAATATGAACATGGCAAATTGTATAAAGTGACTGAGGAAGTTGTCAGCAAGAAGATACTTTTGATGCAGTATCCAACATCTGAACATAGTAAAACTGGGGTTTTTTCTTTGTTTCCCAGAAATTTCTGCAGTGTAATTTCATAACAAGAAAAGTTAATGTTAGATCTGTGTTTTTAATTTGTAGGTACATTGAAACCTTGAAGGAGCACAAACCAAAAATTGTCTGGGATGAACAAATTGCTGAACACTACTTTGAATACAAAAAGTGAGTTACATTTATTAGCTTACTATTCTGCAATTGTTTTTGAGCATGGCCGAGTACACAGTGAAGTAATTATAGTGTGCAACTAAATTCAGCAAAAGGAAATCTGATGTTTTTAATCTGTACATTAACACTGAGCTACAGCAGAAAAGAGAGAAGTACATCAGAAAAGAATTAATGAAATAACATAAGCTAAAGCAGTCTTCAGAAGAGAAGTCTGAGTCATATCTTCAGAAATTATCCATCAAAGTTATCTGCTGAGTGTCAGTTAATCAGAGGCTCTGAAATTACTATTGTGAGCTGTTGGGTGATTACCAAAACTAGATCAAAAATAGTTTTGAGAAAAAACTGTGGTACAGGAGCCTGGTTTTACAAGTGCTAGTGGTAAGATTGGTCAAGCAACAAACTTCAACTAAATGGAATGGACTGTAGAGAAGTGTAATGCAAATGCTATCAAGTGACTTCCAGATAAAGTTTTAAAAGTACTGAGATCACGAAGGAAAAGAAAATTACTTTTTATCCTCCCTTTTTCATCATGAAATGATGAGAGGATTCCTGATGCTAGGAAGATTCAATTTTTAAAATATTAAAAAAAAAAAAAAGCAACGTCTTAGCCTCTGGTAATTTGCTATTTTCTTATGCAAATATACAAAAAATAAGGTAATCCTACTGCTTCTACAAACCTGTCTTTCATATTACTCAGTGCATGGGTAATGTGAAAGCACACCGCTGAAAACTGGAGTAAAACACATTTTAGGGTGCTTTAAGAAAAAATAAAAGAATTATTCTCAATATACCTTTTGGTTTAAATATTTTTAAATATGAAAAAATAAACATACAAAAAAAACAAACCTAAGATGTCCTTCTTCTATATTCTTATTTTAGTTTTCAAGGTTTCTCTCAGTCTGTAATCTTCTCCTGACTTCTGAGCAACACTCATTTCATCGTTTCTCAGGGGAAAAAAAATAAATTACATGCTTGTCAGTGGGGTTTTAATTTCTTTTCTGTGCTTGTATGAAAGGACTGGGATCTGTATTCCTTCATATTTAATTCTTTGGTCTCCTCTTGCAAAATCACTTTGTGCCGAGCAATTCCAAAGTTTTTTGAGTTAACTGAAGAGGATTAAATTATAAGGTTTGTTTTATTGGTCTTCAATGCACTGTCCAGTTGGAGACACAGTGATCACCAAATGAAAACTTGCTCTCAAAATAGTAAATGTAAGGGCTCTGTATGACTGGCATATTTCTCGGATTCTTTTCTGAAACACGTTTCCTAAACATCTCCTTGCAACTGAATATCTGGGAAGTGGATAGCTTGTCGGTAGCACTACACTGTTTACCTTTGAAAGCTAGTCTTTAGAGATTCTTGGGTTTGGACATCCTGGAGGAATTTCGATGCATAAAGCACACTGGGTCTGAAAATCACTCTCAACATCAGTTGCTGTGCTGTGCTTGGCAGGCAGCCATGTGGCTCAGCATGTTTGCAGTGGTTCAGTTGTCTGCACGGGAGGGTTATTTAAGGGAAATCTTTTCAGTTGCCAATTTAGTTTGCAAAGGTTCAGTTACATTGGATGGGGATGGCAGACAGGCCTGAAATACGTTTCACTGGACAAGTATCTCACATGAAAATCGTTGCTAAGAAATCAGATCATGAATCTCTAGGAAAAGCACAGCCGATCGTTTTTATATAGCAGGGAGAGACCATTACCAAGAGTTACAGAAATCTCTTGTCTCTGATGCTTGTCTCAGTGGACATTACAGGTAAGTATGCATTTATGTAAGTTGAGAGATGCTAGAATCATAGAATCATAGAATAGCTGGGGTTGAAAAGGACCTTAAGATCATCTAGTTCCAAACCCCCTGCCGCGGGCACGGACACCTAACACTAAACTATGTCACCTAAGGCTCTGTCCAACCTGGCGTTGAACACCACCACCAGGGATGGGGCATTCACAACTTCTCTGGGCAACTCATTCCAGTGCCTCACCACCCTTACAGTAAAGAACTCCTTCCTTATATCCAACCTAAACTTCCCTGTTTAAGTTTTAACTCATTACCCCTTGTCCTATCACTACAGTTCCCAATGAAGAGTCCCTCCCCAGCATCCCTATAGGCCCCCTTCAGATACTGGAAGGCTGCTATGAGGTCTCCAGGCTGAACAGCCCCAACTTTCTCAGCCGATCTTCATACGGGAGGTGCTCCAGTCCCCTGATCATCCTTGTGGCCCTCCTCTGGACTTGTTCCAACAGTTCCATGTCCTTTTTATGTTGAGGACACCAGAACTGTCCACAATACTAGAAGTGAAGTCTCACGAGAGCAGAGTAGAAGGGCAGGATCACCTCCTTCAACCTGCTGGTCACGCTGCTTTTGATGCAGCCCAGGATGCGGTTGGCTTTCTGGGCTGTGAGTGCACACTGAAGCCAGCTCATGTTCATTTTCTCATCAACCAGCACCCCCAAGTCCTTCTCCACAGGGCTGCTCTGAATCTCTTCTCTCCCAGCCTGTAGCTGTGCCTGGGATTGCTCTGACCCAGGTGTAGGACATTGTACTTGTCATGGTTAAACTTCATGAGGTTGGCATCAGCCCACCTTACAAGCATGTCAGGGTCCTTCTGGGTGGCATTCCTTATCTCCAGTGTATCAACCAAACCACACAGCTTGGTGTAATCAGCAAACTTGCTGAGGGTGCACTCAATTCCACTGTCCATGTCAGCAACAAAGATGTTGAGCAAGACCGGTCCCAACACCGATCCCTGAGGGACACCACTCGTTACTGGTCTCCAGCTGGACATTGAGCCACTGACCACAAGTCTTTGCGTGTGGCCATCCAGCCATTTCTTTATCCACTGAGTCGTCCATCCATCAAATTGATGTCTCTCCAAATTAGAGACAAGAATGTCGTGTGGGACAGTGTCGAATGCTTTGCACAAGTCCAGGTAGATGACATTAACTGCTCTACCCCTGTCCATCATAGAAGGCCCCCAGATTGGTCAGGCAGGATTTGCCCTTAGTGAAGCCATACTGGCTGTCACCAAGCACCTTGTTGATTTTCATGTGCCTTGGCATGCCTTCCAGGAGAATCTGCTTCAAGATTTTGCCAGGCATGGAGGTGAGACTGACTGGTCTGTAGTTCCCTGGGTCATCCATTTTCCATCCTTCCTGAAAATGGGGGTTATATTTCCTTTTTTCCAGTCGTTGGGAACTTCACCTGACTGCCATGATTTTTCAAATATGATGGCCAGCGGCTTAGCAACTTCATTTGCCAGCTCCTTCAGGACCCGCGGATGGATTTCATCAGGACCCATGGACTTGTGCACATTCAGATTTTTAAGATGGTCTTGAACCAGTTCCTCTGCTACAGTGGGCCCAAGGTCTTCATTCTCACAGTCCCTGTGTCTTCCTTCCAAGACCTGGGTGGTGTGGTCAGAGCCTTTGCCAGTGAAGACTTGAGGCAAAGAAGACGTTAAGAACCTCAGCCTTCTCCAAATCCTCTGTAGCCAGTTCTCCTGATAGCTTCCAGAGGGGGCCCACATTGTCCCTAGTCTGTTTTTTATTTGCTACATACCTGTAGAATCCCTTCCTGCTATCCTTAACATCCCTAGCTAAGTTTAATTCTAACTGGGCCTTAGCTTTCCTAACCTGTTCCCTAATTTCCCGGACAGCATCCCTGTACTCTTCCCAGGCCGCCTGTCCTTGCTTCCACCTTTATAAGCCTCTTTTTTCCTTCGAAGTTTCCTCAGCAGCTCCTTATTCATCCAAGGAGGTCTCCTGGCCCCTGCTGCACTTCCTTCTAGTTGGGATGCAACACTCCTGAGCTTGTAGCAGGTGATCCTTAAATATCAGCCAACACTCTTGGCCCCCCCTGCCTTCTAGGGCTGTATCCCATGGAACCTTACTAAGCAGGTTTCTGAAGAGGCCAGAGTCGCTGAATTGCTCAAATTTAGGAGCAATTCCTACTTAGTCTGTCTATGTACTCTTCATTTCCTCTGGTCCTAATGGTTAAGTGGTGCTGTAAGATCACTTGTAACTCATCCTTCTCATTATTAGGGATTTAAAATGCAGTCTTGGTGTTTGTGCCCAGTGTAGCTTCCCCTGTCTGTATATTTTATACTCCTTAAAGGCCAGTAGTATGGGGTAGACAGTTAACTTGTCTGACTCTGCCTATGTTGTATGTTGTTGTGACCATTTCTTGGATAAAGTGTTATGCCCAAAGAAGTTTGGGACTTTCATCTTAATCTTACCTGATTTCTTCCTAAACTTTGTGTTAGTTATTAGGAAACTGTGCTCTGTTCTTTTGATGTTTTGAAAGGCCTTAAGCCTTTTAAGGAGTTCTTTTTTTTTTCTTGGTTTAGGTGTGGCATCATGCAGTTGCTATCCAAAGACGACTCTAGCAGGTCTTTGACTCAATACAATCATGTTTTGAACTTCTAACTTTCCAGCCCCTAGTATTGTCAAAGCCCATTTAAATAGGATGATTTTCTCAGGGTGACCTTTCTGACAAATACTCCTGTAACTGATACTTGCAGGACAGTGACACAGTTGCATCCTTGACCTTTAAATATGTTGTGTATGTTCTCACATCTGACAACCAAATGTCTTCATTTTTTTCAGATGCACATTAATAGGCACAACTATCTTGTCTTACTATCTGTCCATCACTTTGGCTTTATGTGCTGTAATATGTTTGTATCTAGACTAGGAAAATGGCAGGAGTAGAAGTTCATATCTACAGTAGAAAAGGAAGTAAAGAAGATTTAGTCCCTACCCTGCCCTCAGTAGATAGAGGTCAATGGAAACAATGATTTCAGAGACAGAGTGCCTCAGCTTTTGGAGCGAAATGAGCACTGGGTAAGAAATCTCAAAGAGATGAGCTACTAAATGGCAAGTACTCTCTATCTTTGATATAGGTGTATTCATGCTCATATGCTGAGCATACTAGCATATCTTATTTTTAGTAGCAATAACCTCTGCAAAATAAAATTGGCAGATTTCTTCAGCTCCATCTGTGTTTCCTCTTAGAGGGAAGGAATAAAGCTGGTTTTGAATTCTAACCTCAGCTGAAAATCCTGCAGGAATCAATCAAAGCTTTTGTGACTATTTGGTTTTCCTGTTTTGCAGGAATAAAGGAGGAAAACATGCTGTGTTCTACCCAACACTGAAAGTAAGTGCCACTTTTTCATGTTAGAGGGCTCTAAGAGGAAAGAAATGTTTACTTGACTTGTTGCATTATTGAGAAATTTCAGAAAACATTGAACTTCTGTGAAAGAAGTTTACCCTCATGTAGTTGTTGTGATTCAAAGATTCAGCTGCCTGTGCAAGAGGATTTTTTTTTTCTATCATCTCACGCATAGTGGGGGTTTGGGGTCTTTAAAGGTAAGCCATGTCAAGAGAGAAGATGCAGCAGGACAGACCAGTGCTGTTCAAGTACATCTGTTCAAGAGCATCTGTTCAAGTACACAGTTCAAGTGCTAACAGACATACTCATTGTCAGACAAGAGACTGAAGAAATTCTCCTTCCGATCATGTTGGATGGAAGATTGGAGAACTTTTGCCTTCCTCTGTAACAGAGTCCTGTTGTGGTTTAAGCCCAGCTGGCAACCCAGAACCACGCAGCCACTCTGTCACTCCCCCCCACCTTCCTCCCCCCAGTGCCAGAGGGATGGGGAGGGGAATTGAAAGAATATAACTCCCACAGGTTGAGATAAGAACAGTCCAGCAACTAAGGTATAACACAAACCACTGCTGCTGCCACCAATAATAATAATGATAAGGGCAATAACAAGGGAAGAGAATACAACTGCTCACCAGCCACCGATCGATACCCAGCCCGACCGAGCAGTGATCTAACCCTTCTGGGTAACTTCCCCCCATTTATATACTGGGTATGACATGCTGTGGTATGGAATACCTCTTTGGCTAGTTTGGGTCAGGTGTCCTGTCTCTGCTTCCTCCCAGGTTCCCCTCCTCCCTGGCAGAGCATGAGACTCAGAAAGTCCTTGGTCAGACTAGACATTACTGAGCAGCAGCTAAAAACATTGGTGTTACCAGAGTTGTTCCCAGGATGAAAGTCAAAAGCACAGCACTGCACCAGCTAAGAGAAAAATGACTGCTACTGCTGAACCCAGGACAAGGCCTAATTCTTCCTGTCAGCTTGCATCACCCTGATTCTGTAGAATGTATTTTAGTGTTTTGAAAACTTCAGCATTTGGCCTTACTAAAGTCCTTTGGCAGGATGTATCATTTCTGTCTATCCAATATCTACAATATACCACAATACAGGATAAATTGGTTACTTGCAGACTTAGTTCTTAGAAGCTATCTTTAAATTTTCTCAAATAAGCTAAAGGCAGTATGTTAAGTCTGTAGTGAAAGCATATCGTATTTACAGAGAACAGACACATTTTGTATGGCTAAACTAGTGTGAAATGATCCAAAGCTCTGTTTTTCTGAACAGGATTATTATCTAGTACAAGGATATTTCCCTTCATTAATCTAATATTGGTGGAAGTACAAGCACACATGGGATATTAATTAGCATATTTAACTATGTTCTTGCTAGTAGGAGCTGTCTTACAGTGTTAGAAAGTTTTATTGTGAACCTGTCAGAGAAAAGAGAGAGCCCTGCATGTTGTTATGCTACATGCTTTTTGGCCTTGTGGAAGAATTTCAGCCTGCTGTTGTCAGTGCGAGCCAGGTTAAGAACCACTCATTCCTGTATATTTCTTTCACTGCTTCTTCTCTAGCAGATACTCAACTGTGGAGGCTGGTGAATTTATGGAAACTGGTTTTCTTTCTGATTTCAGCAAGCATGTAAGGAAATATTTTGAGATTTGTATGCTGGGACAAATCAAATAATTGTTTATATAATAATGAGCAAGATGATCAGGGAACACTTAGTTTTATTGCCCCAGGACAATAAAGAAGTGTGCTTCTTGCACTTGTTAATGTTATAATCACTGGCAAGTTGCTCAGAATTACTTTATTCAGGATTAGTTAAAAGCAGTCATGAACACCAGGCTCAATGGCTCTGTTGATGATGCCTTGATACTTTGTTCTGTTTTCTGTGGAAATGAGTTTTTAACACATCCCTGGCATGATTAGTTTAAACATTGAAGTGTTGCACTTCAAAGTAAGGAAACGTGAAAGTAAAAGATGGAAAAAATATTTTTGTTGTCTGAACTGGAGGAAGTGCAGTGGAAACCAGTGGCTAACCTAAATGGCTGGAGCTCAAATAGGGATACTTTTTAAATACTAATCTCCGAGAATCTCTCTAAAACAGAATTGTGTTAGTGAAAATCGTGACCAGGTCATGGGTGAAGGCAAGGGTAGGTAAGAGATCTTGATGGTATTTGACAAGTTGTTCTAATTGTTTTCAGTGATAAAGTTTTATTTTACCCCTGAGACATTTCTGGGAAGAGTTAGAATTTCTGTACCTTGTGAAATGATAGCCTAAATTATAATAGTGCATTGTGCAGTTCATAAATCTGATTTATTTCTGTGGCATTTTGTCTGTTTAGTTGGTTATCTTTTATTAGGTCATTGAATTAACTGGTGCAGTTAACTGCCTCTTACTGAATGATTGCTTGCTAACCAGAGAGCATTTGAAATACCGACTACGTTTTTCAGTATCTCATTCAAGGATAGGTATTTTTAATGGCATGAAGAGATGGCAGCACAGTGTCTAATGTCTCTGACTAAAGGGTAATTGCTTTATGTGTCTTTGTCTTAGTCCATCCAGTTGCGCTTAGAACTTGCGAAGGAATTGGGCACTGGAATATCCATCTGGGAACTGGGACAAGGCCTGGACTATTTTTATGACCTGCTTTAACATAAGAGATGATCTGGGAAAGACTTTATTTGCTTTACTGAGACTCCACTTCAATTAATTTGGATATCCTGGAGAGGTGATTTTTAAAACATTTTTTGTAATTTATATTGCATCTGTATTAAACTTGCATTTTTCCCAATAAAGAACCTTTTCTGATTTGCCACACAGACGTGATTATTGGTATCTTATAAAATGAAAGGCAAACCAAAACAGACTTTTTTTTCAAAATTCCTGAATTCAGTCATTAAAACCAACAGAGCTGGGATGGCATCAGAGTTGAAAGTATTTTCCAAGATGTTTTCTACAAGAAATAAAATGGGCTGGTTGTTGCCATCTGATCATGGTTTAAGAAACAGACCTGTCAAACAATTGCGGGTAATAACCAAAGTCAGTGAACAAATAAGTCCATCAGATTATGTCCAGCAAATTTAATATCTGCTGGACCCTCTGCTGTCTTCTGATAAGGTAAGTCAGTGTTAAGTGTTGAGGAGGAAACTAGTTAGATATCTTTTCCTTAGGCTGGTAGAAAATCAAGCACTGACAAATGAAGCTGTTAGCTCTTTTTGTTTTTTTCATGTTAGTAAATTCCTTAAGTACTTCAAAGTCACAGTAATTTTTATTTATGACTTGTTTCTAAATCAGTTTTGTTTACAAAAGATGCTCTGTGATTTCTTTCCTCTGCTTAACATGCTTAGTGTCTCCATTTACACTGTTTAGTGCTAGTGCATGATGCATTAGTGGGTAATGTGGGAATTGTAACATTTAGCACCAAAGGCTATGATGGTAATGCTGGATTACATGGATAGCCCCAGTAGACAGCACCCTAGAGCTGCTTTGATGGTCCTTGGCTTAAGTAGGTGCTGTGAATGTGATCAGCATCTGTGTGCATGAAGCTGTCATTCTTCAGCTGTACACATTGATGCCTTCGTCTCTATAATACAGAATTTTTATGAACCCAAAGGCTGTAACAACACATCCGTTTAAAAACAAAGCAAAAAATGTGTTCCTGCTTTTTGGTTTACAGTATTTATGTTTGTAGAAATACACAGGCTTCAAGGCAGTTTCTTCCAAGGATCTAAGGGGTGCTGGGAATTTGATGAGGATGTCATTGGTCACCAGCAGAGACTCAGGCAGTAGCTCTGTACTCCCATTGGTGTACTTCTTGACACTTTACAGTTGTCACAAAGATAACTGCACTCCTCTGTTTGCATCCACCCTTCCCAGTAATTAATCTCAGTGGGCAATTTATCTGCCCCTGCTGTTTTCAGCAGAATAAATCCCACTGTAATCTACCATTGATTAAAGAACTATTGATCTTCACCTCTCTGATTTAGTTCTGGCATCTCTTAACCTCTCACATTGCAAGTATTCAGCAGGGCTTACTAATCAGGCTTCTTTCTTCCATACCATTAATAGGAAGATAATTTGCTACATGAATCCTCGTGTTCAATTAACTTGCATTTTTTAGTTTGTTCAAAAGCATTTTACAGTCACTCTGGCAATGGTATGTAGAGTACCACACAAATTACATTCTATTATACTGCTTTTTGTACTTTCTGTACTACTGAACCAGAATGCCTCAGGAAAAGTCTGTAAAGAGTGGAATGGGTTGTGATCTGAAATGGGATCCATTTTTGTATTAGCTAGTAGGGAGCTTTCAAACAGGATGTGGAGGAAGAAAAGAATATTTCATTTTAGCTTCTTGTTTCCTCTCTAGAAATGATACATGTAATTTATCACAGTTTTCAGGACTTTTATATATTCTGTGATGATTCTTTTTGATGTTGAAGATTCTTGTTTCTGAGTACAGCTATGTTAGAAAGAAGTGTTGTTTCCATCCTTAGAGATTGAATGAATACCTGTGTGTCAAAAAGATCACACTCATTCTTGCTGTATCATGAAAAATCAGATAAGTATGTTGTGATTTTGAGCCAACCATAATATATAGGTGCTTGGGGTTAATGATGTTGACCTCACCAGCGAACCATCATGAAAAAATGTTTCTTTTGAAATTTGCACCTCACTTGCATGTAAGAAATGACATGGGACAGAGATGCTGGTGTGAAAGTAGGTTCTGCAGAGCATCTATTTTTACGACTTTTCCTCAGACAAGTGAGGAAGACTGAGCAAAGGGCAGAAGATGGGTGGGAGAGCAGGAATGTGACTTCTGTAAGGACCATGGCAGGTGGCTTTCATTCCCTCAGTTCAAAAAGAGTAGAAAGCACTGGTTTACAATGCCAAGAAGCATTTTTCTGTAAAGCAAAAAAAAATGTATGTGTGTTCTCCCATAGAAGCAAGTACTTTTTAAATGTACTGCCAGATATGTGACAGGGCAAGATCAAAGATATTGCACTTGAAAAATTGAGGGTATGGGTGGGGAGAATTATCTAGTGTTCATATTAAAACAGTTTACATCTAGCATAGCAAGCAGTGAAAATGAAGTATGTTTATTTCAACAGAATATTTCATCATTCAGTTTTCTAAGATATTTAAGAAAACAAAGCAAAAAAAAAAAAAAAGAGTTGTGCTCTATAATCTTGTTCAGTTGCAATAAAAGTTTCTGTGTATTAGGGTAAGATTTCAGTGCTGTGAAGGTAAAGGTGTCTTTTAGCTACCTGATGCCAAGCAGAGCCTTCTTCCAACTGACCTTTGTTCAGCCTGGAGAAGAGAAGGCTGTGTGGAGACCTCATAGCAGCCTTCCAGTATCTGAAGGGGTGCTTTAGGGATGCTGGGGGTGGACTCTTCATTAGGGACTGTAGTGATAGGACAAGGGGTAATGGGTTAAAACTTAAACAGGGGAAGTTTAGATTGGATATAAGGAGGAAATTCTTTCCTGTTAGGCTGGTGAGGCACTGGAACAGGTTGCCCAGGGAAGTTGTGAATGCTCCATCCCTGGCAGTGTTCAAGGCCAGGTTGGACGAGGCCTTGGGTGACATGGTTTAGTGCGAGGTGTCCCTGCCCATGGCAGGGGGTTGGAACTTGATGATCTTAAGGTCCTTTCCAACCCTAACCATTCTATGATTCTATGACCTTTGCTCTTATGTTTCCCAGTGTTTTACTGTTTTGGGTTAGGCTCATGCAGCGTTTAGATAAATGCATTTTTCTGCAGAAATTTTATTGCATTCACTGAGAAAAAGAAATAGATGATTTTGTTGCAGCTGACTTCAATATGAAGCTAGTGGTTTTATCATCAGTTATCACACATATGATTTTAATGGTTAGCAAAGTGTTTCTTGTATCTGTATACAACTAAGTATCTTATTGAGACAGAAAAAGAGACTACTTGCATGGACAATTTCCAGGACAACAGTATTGCATCTTATCTCAGGAATTATGTGTCTTGTGGTATCTGTCTTGAAAACTGGAGCTGCCATAGAGTCTTTGTAATCAGAAACAGTTTTAAAAGAGAATTGTGGAAAATAAATTGTTTAGCTTGCCTCATTGTGAGATGCTACTTCTTTAAGGAAAATTGCTTCGATACCTTGTTTTATAATTCTTTTTTGCTATCATAGGTAGGTGTCAAACTCCAGAATCAGCTGTAGCTTCCAGGTAAGAAGGTTGGGAGTAAAGAGTAGAGGTAGGGTAGACTGAAGGATGACAGTAGGAAAACAGCTTCTTTAATGACTTCTTAGTTATAAAGTATTGCTGAACACGTTGTAAAAATTTAGTGTTGTTTATGTGCTTGGGTGAAAATATCTGTTTCTACTAAGAGCTACTAGTGGTAATTAATTTTATGAGTGGGGATGGTGGGATGGTATTTTGTGCATACTTCAATGTGGAGACTGCAAAGTTAATGGATGTTCATAGGAAGTGTAATTACAGACTCTCCTAAATTTGGGCCATGTCTTTTGACGTTTACTGTTTTGATTAATACACATTGCAGCTGTTTACTTCAGTTAAATGGCAGCAAAAAGTAGATGGATTCTACCTCTGCAGCTTGACGAGGTCATATGTTGCTATTTTCTGAAAATACTACTCCCTCAGTGATCTCTTTTTTATGTAGTAAGTGCAAATTAACTAAGCCTGAATTGGTGTTTTGCAGTCTACCAGAAAAAACCTTTGATACTCTGTGTGTGGAAATTGTATCTTCTCTTCAGAAAAAAAATAAATCTTTTATATGAAAAATAATTGAAATAGAATTTGACGAACACTGCTTATTCAAAAAGTTGCAAAATAAATAAAATCACGTACCTTGTTAGCGTTTGAGCTTACAAGCTGAAATGTGCCTTTAGATGGAACAAGAACATTGTAATAAAATGTTATTTTGCAAAAAGGTGGCGGAACGGAAGCTAAGACTCAAAATTGAAAACAATTGGAAAACAATTAGAAATTTTACATTCCAAATTATATTAGTTACCTTTTCTGAATACATTTTAATGTTTATTTGGTTACAATGTAACTTAAAAATGTATTTTAAAAATACTGTAGAAAACCTGTATGGCATTTTCATAGAAACAAAATCAATGTTTATTACAAGCTCTTAATGAAATAGGCTCTTCCTGTGACTTCCAACACATTAGAACGAATTCTCCGCTCAGCTGCTGAGCACTTTTGAGTTGCCTTCACATGGCACATGATTACCATATTTCATGTTTAGAATATATAAACAGTATATTGACTTTCTAGAGACTTCCTAACTCTCCTGATTTCATTTACTAGTCGCAGCAGACATACACTTAATGGCAGAAGGGCACAGACCCTCCAGTTTCTAGACTGCATGCCATGTGGGGTTTGTGTGATTTGCTGAAAGGCCTGCTGGATTGTTGCATTTTTCTGCAAATCCAGTCACAGTTTCTGGAGCAGGGCTATCTGATGTTCCAGCTCTGACATCTTTTTCTGTGGAGTTCCTGTTGTGTGTAAGGCTGCAGCAGAGATTACCTGAGTGATATACCTCACCTTCCTCAAAGGTCACTACATATGGAATAGAAGTCAGAAGATTATGGTGTTTCACTGTTTTTCCTCCAGTATGTAATGTCAGTAGGTTATGGTTACCTCTGCTGCTCATCCTACTCAAAAAGGTAAGATTGAATTTTGTTTTCCTGTGTTTACTGCATGCATTTTCAAGCTTTGAAGTAACTAAAAAAAAAACACACCCACTTGCTGACATTGCCAGTTTTCACTAAACAGTACTTTTCTGTTCTTGCTTACAATCTGCATTTAGGAATGG